ATATTGCTGTTTTGGGCAGCGACTACAGAAGCATTCAAACACAGAGCTTGCTAACTGAGTGAAACATGTATTGCATTCTGGAAGGCAAACATCTGCTGATTTTCTGAGCAAGCAGCAGATTTTTCAGCAGTCAACGAGCGTATCAGCGGCATTATCTGTGCCCAGTGTGTCGACCGCCGAAGACCCACAAGAGCAGCAACCGCCACAGCAGCAACAGCAACAACAACAACACCACCACCAGCAGCAGCAGCAACAACAAGCGGCACAACAACAACAGCACCATCGAACTCCTCCGACGCCGAGGCGGAGAATCAGCGACAAAGTTGTACTGCCAATTTCAACTGAAATTTCACGGAATCGAGAATTTTATCGAACGCATGATGTTCGCCCGCCGTACACTTATGCCTCTCTGATTCGCGAAGCTATCATTGAGTCCAAGGATTGCCAGCTAACGCTGAATGAGATTTATCAGTGGTTCACTGAAACTTTCGCATATTTCCGGAGGAACGCTGCCACCTGGAAGGTAAGCAGTCTTTTCTGGCTGGCCAGAATTTGCATTTTTGTGCGTTTTGTGCTGCAACGATTGGATAAAACGCATGTTGTTGCGACCCTGTCCGTGTATGTGTTTCGAGTGCATTTTATCCTAGTATTTCAAATTGGGAACCGGAGATCCGAGGGAGCTGAAATTTTGGTAGAATTTTCCCCACTTATGTACGACTCCACATATTTAAATTCAGCCTTCACTTTCTCTGAGGTACCACGTACGACCTTACAAAAGTTTTGGCTGAGAGAATTATTATCTTGAGAATCACGAAAGTTGGGAAGCTGAAATGTTAGAGCAGTGTTCTTTTCCCTCTGCTTCTACGGCCCAGCAATCTTAAACTAACCCGCGCGCCCGGGTATCACGTGTGGCCCCGTGAAAGTTTTAGCAAGGAAATTACTGTATAGGGAACCACTGGAGGTGGGAGGCTGGAATTTTACGAGAATGTTCCTTGCTCACGTACGGCATCGTAAATTTAAATTCAGTCTTCGCGTTTGTCTGGGTATCGCATATGGCCCCGTGAAAGTTTCGGCAGGAAAAATTATTGTCTCGGGAACCATGAAAGCTAAGGGGCTGAAGTTTTAGGGGGATGTTCGCTGTCCACGTACAACACCGCAGATTCGAGTTCATCCCAAGTACGACCTTGTGAAAGTTTTGGTAGGAAAAATTGCTATCTCGAGAGCGAGAAGAGCTGGGAGCTGAAAACTTCAGGAGGATGTTTTCTG